CTGCAGTGCTGGAGACAACTTGAGAGTCCCTTGGACAGCAAAGAGATCAAACCAGTCAATCCAAAAGGAAATCAACCCTAAATATTCACGGGAGGGACTGATGCTGAAGTTGAAGCTCCAGTACTTTGGCCACCTGATGTGAAGAGTTGACTCACTGGAAAAGACCAATGCTGGGAAAGATTGAGGGCAAGAGGAGAAGGGGGTGACAGAAGATGAGAGGGTAGGATGGCAGTTTGAGCAAACTCCAGGAGACGGTGAAGGACAGGGAAGCCTGGCATGCTACAGTCCATGGGGTCACAAAGAGTCAGACAAGCCTGGGTGACTGAACATCAACAATTCGTCAGCCACTGCCAGACTGCGTGGTGGAAGTCACAGTCTCTTTTCCAACTGCCCCAGAACAAGGGCCTTCCAGGGACCTGCCTTGCGCACCTCACACAGTTCCCAGGCTACCTCTTTTCCCAGTCCCTTGCCCAGCTCTCTGCTGGAATTTCAGAAACATATGGCTGTGTGTGTGGCCTGTGCATTCATGAAGGGTGCACAGCCCTGAAGAGGTGCTCTGTCTTAGTTGGTGAGGAAGACAGGGAAGGCTCATCCCGAGAGAACTGAAAAACTGGTCCTTGAAATACAGCACCGATCCACTCATAGAAATAATGACAAGTTTCAGGCACAAGATGGGAAAAACTAAAATCTGGGGGGCTTCCCAGGTGGTGCTAGTGGTAAAGAACCCGCTGCCAATGCAGGAGACATAGAGATGCGAGTTTGATCCCTAGATAGAGAGGATCCTCCGGAGGAGGGCATGGCAACCCTCTCCAGTATTGCCTGGAGAATCCCATGGACAGAGGAGCCTAGCGGGCTACAGTCCATGGGGTCGCAGAGTCGGACATGAATGAAGAGACTTACACTGCAAACTGTGGAATTCTGAGTGGCTCCCAAACAGAATAAATTATATTCCTGTGCCCTCTGCTGGTAAAGAGCGGCACTAGCCTTCCTGGGGCCTGCAAAAAGGAGGCAGACAAAGAGGGTGACTCACACGCATCCTTCTGTTCCTAGAGTCTCATCAGATCGGATGTCCGCTGTTACTCATGAGGGGGGAGGCGGCCATCAGCAGGATGTCCAGACGGAATGGAAATGTGCCCATCCGTCTCAGGCACCAGAGGCTTCAAACTGCCAGTGGGCAGAGGACCATGGACGCCACTGCCTCACCCGGGCCTGAGGACTGCCAATGGACAGGCTGTGCCCCCTCCAGCCACCCGTGTGCCTCTCGGCCACTCCAGACTCTGAGGAAAAGATGTTATTTCATTCCCAAGAGGAATCTTAGAGAGGGGGCGGGGTCTTAAAGTAGAAATACCCACCCATTTGCTCATGGATCTGGGTTTTCTATAGATACACCTCTCAGACTGGGTACACCCCTTCCCAGGGGTGTGAGTAAAAGAATCCATCTGCCACAGCAGGAGCCGCGGGAGACTTGGGTTCGATCCCTTGGTCAGGAAGATTCCCTGGAGGAGGGTATGGCAACCTACTCCAGTATTCTTGCCTGGAGAATCCCACGGACAGAGGAGCCTGGCAGGTTACAGTCCATAGGGTCACAAACAGTTGGACATGATTGAAGCGACTTAGTATGCACACCCTTCCCCTCTCTAGGAATCAGTTTCCTTGTCTATAAAATGCAAGAGTTGGAAGAGTGATGTCTGAGGTTCTTTCTGGCTCAGGGATGCTGGTATTCCACAAGCCTGGATCCAAGGGGCCCTGCCGATACGCTGAAGGCAAAACTGCCTGCTGGATACTTGCCTTCTCGCCCCAGGCAGCCTTCCCCATGCCCTGGCAGGTTCCCTCTTCCTTCTCTTCCTTCAAGACCCCTGTCCTGTCCTGCCTTTAGTGCAGGGTGGATGTGGGCTTTTTGTCCATAGAGGCAAGATGGCAGCTGATTCTCACCTGTGTGGTTTCTCTGACCAGGTCACCCCCTCATCCCCTTCGCTAGGAATAGGATCAAAGGGCCAACCCAAAGCTACAAAACTGCAGTGTTCAATCACCTCCTGAACAGACCCAGTGCTCTAAAATAATAAATAAATAAGGCCGCATTTTATTTTTTTCCCCCTCCGTTTGGAAATTTGTAACATCATTAGCTACAAGTAAATATATCAGTGGAATTAATGGAGTGAATCACAAAGTGACTTGATTGGATTTAAAACCACATAATGTCTTTGGGGTGAATTAGTAAATTTAGCACTGTCGAGAGATGATGAATGGAGAACCGGGGGACTGAGAGTTCTTATTGATCCTGGGAATAGATCAGGATGAGAAGAAGGGGAATGGCTTCCCACGCTGTTTTCAGAGAGAAAGGAAACGTGGCTTCTCAGCATGGGAACACAGCGCCCTTCTGCAGGCGTGTGGTTGAGTTGTGACCACATATGCTGGGTTCCCAGGTGGCGCTAGTGGTAAAGAATCTGACTGCCAGTGAGAGAGCCGCAGGAGACATAGGGGGTTTGATCCCAGGATTGGGAAGATCCCCTGCAGAGGGAAATGGCAACCTGCCCTAGTATTCTTGCCTAGAGAATCCCATGGACAGAGGAGCCGGGCGGGCTCTAGTCCACAGGATCACAGAGAATCAGACACAGCTGGAGTGACTAAGCAACAGTTTGGTGGGCAGTGCTTAAGAGGGCCTCCAATGATCCCCACCTCTGGAATTCATGTCCTTATGGAAGGATTCCTTCTCCCCAGTGTAGACAGAAACAAGTGGCTTGCTTCTAACACACAAAACGCAGCAGAAGCAATGAGGTGTCACTCCCGAGGCTAGGTTATCAAAAGACTGCGGCTTTGTCTCCCACGCACTCAGCCTGTCCTGGGCTGTCTGCTCCGCAGGGGCCATGCTGAGGTCAGCACTGTAGAGAGGCCCATGGGAGCCAGCCTCAGAGTCGACCTGCCCAGGGCTGCTTGGAAGCAGAGCCCCTCCAAGTATGCTTTCACATGATTTGAGACTGGCTAAACTCCTTGACTGCAGCCTCATGAGGGACCCCGAGCTAGAACCAGCCAGACTGAGGGCAGGAGGAGAAGGGGGCAACAGAGGATGAGATGGTTGGATGGCATCACAGACTCAGTGGTCATGAGTTTCAGCGAAGTCCAGGAGATGGTGAAGGACACGGAAGCCTGGCGTGCTGCAGTCCGTGGGCTCGCAGGGAGTTGGACACAACTCAGTGACTGAGCAAAGCTGCTCCTGGGCTCCAGACCCAGAGAAATAAACCGAGATAATAACTATTGCTTAAAGTCACTAAGTTTGGGGTAATCTGCCATAAAGCAACAGATTAATACACCAGGCAGCTTGCTGGGGCCACTGAAATGTGAGTAGAAACAATGCATGTCATTTCTGAGGCAGAGCTGGCTTCCTGCCTTGGCAACTGGGCAGGCAACAGTCAGATAAAACTTCTGTGAGCCTGGGTCTTGGAGGGACTACCAGGGGCAAGTCCCATCCCCTTCTCACCCCAAATACCACTAACCTGCACTGGATATTCTTCAGTACAGCTGAGAAATAGACTTTGGTTGCATAAAATCACCTTGATTTGGGAATTTCCTGTTACTACTGCATAACCTGGGGCTTCCCTGGTGGTTCAGAATCTATCTGCAATGTGGGAGACCTGGGTTTGATCCCTGGGTCGAGAAGATTCCCTTGGAGAAGGAAATAGCAACTCACTCCTGTATTCTTGCCTGAGAAATCCCATGGACAGAGGAGCCTGGGGGGTTACAGTTCATGAGGTTGCAAAACAGTCAGATACAATTTAGCGACTATGCAACAACCACCACATAGCCTAGTCCATATAGACTAGCATGCTAGTCAGTCCAGGGCCACAGACTGGAAATGGTCAGGAGCCTGACAGCAAATGGGGCTGCGTAACAGGAAGTGAGTGGCTGGCAACTGAACGAAGCTCCATCTGTATACACAGTCGTTCCTCATCGCTCACATTGCCATCTGAACTCTACCTCCTGTCAGATCAGTGGCGGCATTAGATTCTCATTGGAGCAAGAACCCTACTGTGAATTGCACATGAAAGGGATGGATGTTTGCGCTCCTTATCAGAACTGTCCTGAAACCATCCATCCCCACCTACTGCTGGTTCATGGAAAAACTGTCTTCCACAAAACCAGTCCCCAGTGCCAAAAAGTTTGGCAACTGCTGTACTAAGGCATCAGGGTGCCCAGAGGAGGCTGAAAAACACACTTAATCTTCCCATTAAGAACACAAGACCATAGGTTTGAAGTACAGTATGTTTCCTTTAGGGCTTCCCAGGTGGTGCTAGTGGTAAAGAACCTGCCTGCCAATGCAGGAGATACAAAAGACACAGGTTCGATCCCTGGGTCAGGAAGATCCCCTGGAGGAGGTCATGGCAACCCACTGCAGTATTCTTACCTGGAGAATCCCACGGACAGAGGAGCCTGGCAGGCTACAGTCCATGGGGTTGCAGAGAGTCGAACACAACTGAAGCAACTTGGCACATAGCACGTGCTTTCTTTAAAGCCCACCACAACAGTGTCTTACAGAAACAAGTTTCAAAGCTGGTCTCCTTGACCCTATGTGTACACCCACACTTAGGAGCTCCAGCTTCTAGTTTAAGAAACAGGGTCCTCTTATGGGTTCATGGACCGACATTCAGTGAATATGTATGTTTGCTGGGTATTTCCAAATCTGTCCCCCCACTTACCTTACAACAGTCCTGAAGGCAGATATAAGTTCTGGTACCCTAAATTCACAGATGAGGAAAATTCAGATTTGAAGAGTGAAATCAACCCCAGGTGGTTATTAAGCCTCTAGGCAGACATGAGCAGAACACAGGCTTGAGTCCAGGCCCTCTGAACCTACACTCACCATCTTCCCTCTAATCTCAAGGGGGTCACCAGCTAGAGAGGTGGTTGCATTAAAGTTGCTTCTTAGTAGGAAGGTTTTAGAACTCAGAGGGCTGGGGCTCCTTTGTGATGGGGAAAGGGCTTAGAAATTGAGATAAATTCCTTACTTGTGTCAATGAAGACTGCATCCACATAGATTTTGGTACAGAAAGAGCCCAGGATAAATCCACAGGCTGGTCCAAACACCAGCATCGTGAACAGGATTCCTGAAAGAAGAAGATGAAACCAAGATTAGATTAAAAGCAGAAGGCATTCAATGAGCAAAACTGTTAAAGCATGAGAAAACTGTTTTACATTGATCAGATGAGGGGTTTGATTAGACAAATGCTATCAGAGGAATTAGTCTAAATATCCTAGAGGGGAAAGCTACTATTCTAATTTTTGGAAACCCTATTGAAGAACTATTATGCAGGAATTCTATAGTTTCTGTAGGTTGCTCTGAAATACTTCTAGGCCCCTAGTACACTTACTTTTGAGGACTCTTCTCCATGTCACATCAGACCAATAAAATACATCCACATTTATCATGGAAATTTTTTTTTCAGCCATAAACATTTTGGGAAGGATTTTTATCATTTTGCTTTCACATTGATTTGGCTTTATGTAATTCACTTAATATACAGTTGGCAAAGACTTCTCAGCCCTCACTGTGCACACAGGAATTCTTATGAAGTGAGAAAAGCTGAAGCCACAAATTATTCTCCAATGTAATGAAATGTTTATGGGCATTAAATTTAGCAAATAACAAAGCTGACATAATGGCCTGCTTTGAGCACATTTAATTAGACATTTTATTAATTTCAGTTTTGCAGGCCCTCCCCACTCGTATTTTTGGAATTGCTCTCTGTTGTTGCTCTCACAGCCATTCAGGACTCAAGCTCTTTCGTAGGACTTGAGAAGATGGTACCAGGCACATGCATAAGCACTGGGTTCGTCAAAACACTCTTTCTGGTTTTTCTATAACAGCGTGTGGGAAAACCCTAACAAGCTTTCTGGCCCACCCAATATGTATCTAATAGATGCAGTATCTGGAATTTTGCACAGAACTTTTGGTTCATTCTGGCAAAAGCAATGAGCCCAAACCAAAAAGCTGCAGGCTGTTCTCTACTTAACTAAATTTCAACTTGAGCACTGACAGTTCACAAGGCCCTAGGAGTGAAAATAACAGTAAAGAAGTGCCTTTTTCTTAGGAAGCTGGTTACCTGTGGGGACAATCAGTACATGGTCAATTCAACCCAAGCAGACAGCCTAGAGGGTGGATGCTAACAGGTCTATGTAGGCACATGAAACACAGGGTAGGAAATGGATTCAACCGGAGGGAATCTGAGCTCAGTGGAGGGTTTCTGGTCTGCTCACAGAGTAGACTAACTCAGCCTGAAATCTCCAGAGATGGATCTGCTCAAATACTCATCCACTCAATCAATACTTCTTGAGTTCCTTCTTTGCACCAACCAGCCTTCTTAGGGATGGAGACTCAGTGTTGAAACAAGCAATCAAAAATCCAAGCCTTCCTGGAGCTCACTGACTTGGACGGAGAAGAAAACAAAACTTAAGAAAACTAACGGAATATTACTCAGCCATGAAAAGGAATGGACTGGTGCCTTTTGCAGAGATGTGGGTGGACCTGGGGTCTGTCATACAGAGTGAAGTTAAGTCAGAAAGAAAAAAACAAATACCAGACATTAACACATATATGTGGAATCTAAAAAATGCTATGGGCTATCTTATTCACAAAGCAGAAATGGAGACACAGATATACAGAACAGACAGAACAAACATGTGGGAAGGTGGGGTGGGATGAATTCAGAGACTGGGACTGACACATATGAAACACCACTGATGGAGAAGGAAATGGCAACCCACTCCAGTGTTCTTGCCTGGAGAATCCCATGGACAGAGGAGCCTGGGGGTTACAGTCCATGGGGTCACAAAGAGTGGACACGACTGAAGTGACTCAGCACAGCACTGATAGGATGCATAAAATGAGTAACCAATGAGAACCTGCCGTGCAGTACAGAGGACTCTGATCCGGCTCCGTGGTGACCTAAACGGGGAGGAAGTCTAAACTGGCCATGTGTATACATGTGACTGATTCGCTACGCAACATTGTAAAGCAACTATACTCACAGAGAAAAGAAACCATAGACAGGAGCTGGACTGATTTCTACATACTTGGCAAAGGAAACCAGGTCTTTTTCACTTTCAGACAGAACCCAGAATCCCAAAGCAAGTACTTAACGATGACTCATAAAGAATGCTGTTTGATGAAGGAAGGGATGAAAGAGGATGGTTTCCATCACAGGAATGGAATCCTGTGAATTCCACTGAGGAATGAATCCACCCTCGGTGAAATCCTACTCCTAGATTTAGAGCACTCTAGAAGTTAAGTGTCTCAAGATAGCCACTCCTGTTTCCAGCTGGTGACCCTGGTCTCCCAGTTAATTCTGTTTATAGGAATCTGGAGAGTAACAAAATCTGCTTTATTACAACACTGGCTCTGGTTTGTCACAACTTAGGTTGAAAAAACTGAACAGAGAAAATTGAGAGAGGTGAGGGTGTTTTTGGAAGGGTCTAGAATGTAGGGAATCTTTCAAAGATGGGCTAGAATTAGGAGGATTGTCCTTAGCTGGGCCGAGTTAGGGAGAAGAGCGATCTTGGCTCTACTTGGTGGATGGAGGAAAGGGAAGCAGGAAGAGATGCTGAGAAAGATACAGGGTCAAGGGTGTGGACAGGGGGTGTCCAAGGTAAGAGCAGCACCCAGGGGAGACTGAAGGACTTGCTGCTTCAGGGCAAAATCCCGAAGCCAGTTATGTCTTTCTGAGCAGGACACAGGTGAAGGCAGAGGGGAGCCACTGGCCAGCAAGTAAACCAGCTACTCAGGCTGTTCCCAAAGAACGGGACTTGAAGACAGGGACATGATTCTCTTGCCCAGAACTACCCCTCTGACTTGCCTTCTATGCTCCTGGCATTTGCTCTGATCTCCAGCACCACTCCTGCGCCCCCTCTTCACATGATAACATGCTTCTTTTCATGCAAATTAAATACCCCCCACAATCAATGTAACAATCACTGCTCCATCGCCCACAGAGTAAATAATAAAAATTATAACCTTGAATAGGTCAAAGGACCCAGCATTATGTGTCAACGGAAAGAAACAGCCAATGAGCTTCAGAACTGGTGTTGAGAGTGTATTACCCCTCCCCCACGCGGGGGCAGCGGAGCGCGTGGACAGACCAGTGTCACAGGAAGCTGGAGACTCCAGGCTCTGGGTGTCCTGTCCTTCTGCAACTTACGACACAAAAGGAGGGCATCCCTCAAGCTCAGGGGCCCAGACAGGCCAGCCACCCATTCTGGCAGCTCCGATAGGCAGAGGCCACTGCCGTGGAGCCACGTGCCAAGGTGACTGCTCCATCCGGTTCCTCTAGGACAGGGCTCGGGTCTCTGAAACACTGGGCTGCAGCTCTCCATTTTAACAGGACAGAGCTCTCTCCCAAAGAAACCCGATAGTGTGGCTTCCCTGGTGGCTCAGGGGTAAAGAATCCGCCTGCCAATGCAGGAGACACGGGTTCGATCCCTGACTCTGGAAGATCCTGCATGTCGCGGAGCAACTAAGCCCATGTGCCACAACTATTGTGCTCCAGAGCCTGGGAATAGCAACTATTGAGCCCAGGCGCTGCACCTACTGAAGCCCGCACGCCTTAGCGACCATGCTCTGCACCAGGAGAAGCCAAGGCCCTGGGAGGCCCATGCGCTGCAACTGGAAAGCAGCCAGCACCCACCTGCCACCACCAGAGAAAAGTCTGTGTAGCAACAAAGCACAGTCAAAAAATAAAAATAAATAAAAGATGAAAAAAAGAAAAGCCATAGAATCTCATTCCAAGAACAAGAAAAAAAAAAAAAAAAGATGTGTGACATGCATTTTTGTGCAATGGGCACCCCCTCCTTGTTTGAAATCTCTGGGGGCATTTTTACTTTATCTTTTGTATTTTAAACCTTTCATTTCGTATTGGGGTACAGCCGATGAACAAATGATGTTGTGATAGTTGCAGGTGAACAGCGAAGGGACTCAGCCGTACACACACAGCTATCCATGGTCTCTGGGTGCATTATTTTTTTAAAAGCAGCTTTTCCTCAGAGATACACCAAGTGAACCTCTAGCAGCAATGGGTTCCAGAATGTTCTCCAAGGGATGATCCAGTAGTGGGGATGGCTTCAAGTGTCAGAAAGCACCCTTTCTGCTGCAGAAATATCTCAGGGTAACAGCTCAGATGCAGCATCGGGGAGCACAGTCCTGGGTCTGCAGAGGGTGGTGCTCCCCTGAGAGCCCAGCAGGCTGGCTGGGATCTTACAGAAAGGCACTTGAGGAACGCGCTTCCTTGCTCTCCTGTCGATTCATCCCACCAGGCTGTGATTTTGTTCTTGTTTATCAACCACCCCCCACCCCCCAAAAAACACAACCGTTCTGCCTAAACAGACAAGAAACAGATGGTCCAGCACTAAAATCCGCCCAGCATCCCTGCGTTGAACGGTGAGGGCCTCCGGGTCCCGGGTCGCTGTAGGGGGTGGGGGAGGGGGTGTAGGTTACTCAGCGGCGCGGTGCTGCCCCCTACTGTCTGCCAGGCTGTATGCACGGGCGGGGAGCCTGGGAGGCAGGGATCGGAGAGGAGAGTGGCGCCTCCCTGTGCTGCCACCCTGAGCCCGCTGCGCTACAAGCTTAATCTCCTGTAATCCGTTCAGTGACCCCAGGGGGAGTCTCCTGGGCCCATTTCACAGCAGAAGGAGCGGTTCAGCATCTCCCTTCCCAACAACGGAGCCAGAAGGCAGCACAGCGGGCCCCGCAATCGCGTTTCTCTCATCCCCTCAGACAGCTCAGGAGACACAGGGGCCGCCTGGGGGCAGATCCCAGCCCCACCGCGTCCTAGCTCTGGGCGCCCTGGGAAAGGTCTGTTTCACTTCCTGGTGCCTCAGCTTTCCCATCTGTACAATGGGAATGATACCAGGCCTATTCCGCAGGGAGGACTTAATGACCTTAGACGGAGTCTGGCACCTAGAAAGAGCCATGGAAGTGTTAAATGGAGGCCCCCTATGTCTCTTCCTCTATAACGAAGGCCACCACACCTGGGTTCCCGGTCCTCCCCTCTCCTCCCATGCCTCATTTCCTAAAGCCAGCAGCAGGCAAGAGGGGCTGGAGCTGGGGGCAGGCCAG